TGTTCCATCTCATTTCCCTTTGGGGTTGCTGTAGGTGATCTGGAAGTCTGTTTTTGAGGCTTGTTTATGTGTCTTCTCATTTCCACGGGATGTGTGGGGGCGTGCTTCTGGCACTCACGCAGCTCACCTTCTGTGCCCTAGGAACTTGGGATGGCAGCGGGGGAGCTTCCTTCCGGGTGCTGGGACTGGCTGAGCCTCACTGCCCTAGGAGCCTGGGATGGAGGCGGGGAGCTTTCTTCCAGGTGCTGGGACCAGCTGAGCTTCACTGCCCTAGGAGCCTAGGATGGAGGCAGGGGATCTTCCTTCCGGGTGCTGGGACCGCCTCAGCTTCACTCTAGAGAAGCTTCTTAGAGAAGTGAAAAAAGAGATTTTTTTCTCTAGGTTGAGATTTTAAGAATAATTAAAAATATTCCAGGAATTAGGAGAGTACAAGAATGCAAAGATCAGTTATTAAAAAAATTAATAAATGCCTACATAGACTAATAACAAAGAGAAAAGACGTTATTTATTATAAAAGAACATTAAGAGGAGAATTTACATTATATTTTACAAATATTAAAGGGATAAAGAAATATTAAGAACAGCCCAATAGATTTGAGAACCTGTATAAACTAAAAAAACTTTTGATATATACAAAGTACAAAAACTACTGCAAAAGAAATTAAAAAAGTAAGTATTGGTGTAGGAAATAAATTCTCATAGTCATTTATCAAAAGAAATGCAATATTTTATAAAAAGAATTTTTATAGCACTTTCATTCATAATAGCCTGAAAATAGCACGAAAGTACACCAAGAGAAAAATAGGTAAATCATGCCATAAACATAAGGTGAAAAACTCTTCAGCAAGAAAAAAGAATGAAGGGCTGGGGATTTAACTCAGTGGTGCTACGCCTGCCTCATAAGTGCAAGGCCCTGAGTTTGATCCCTGGTACTGCAAAAAAAACAAAAAACAAAAAACAAAAAAAACAATGAAGCACTGATAGAAATCTCAAACAAATAGGCTGGGGATTTAACTCAGTGGTTTCACTGCCTGCCTTGCAAGTGCAAGGTCCCGAGTTTGATCCCCAGGACCAAAAAAAAGAGAAATTTCAAACAAATAATGCTGAATGGAAGCATAAACACAATAACACAACTAAAGAGCACATGCCTATAGTTTCATTTATATGAAACAGTAGAAGAACCATATCTATACAGAGAGCAATAGTAATAGTTGTCAGGGACCAAGAGTTCTAAATTTGATTATGGTGGTAATAACACAATGTGTGTATTTGTAACAATTATCAAACTCTGTACTTTAAATAGGGATATTTAACTGTATATACAATTAACACTTACATAGACTAATAACAAAGAGAAAAGACATTATTTCTTCAGAAGTTGAGTTCAGAAAGGTGATAAAAGAAATCTTGTTAGGACTCTGTGTGCTGGAGGGGTGAAGTGTGACATGGAAAGTTTTATTCTATAAGAGAAGGGGAGATTCCATGCTGAATTCTTTGCTATAGGTATGCTGCATTTTTAGGTGTTGGGGGGATCCCCAATATGAAACTTACTACAGATAATTGGACAGGTCTTGCAATCAAAGGAAAAAAAATCTGTGTTGAAGGTAAAGACTTGGTGTCATCTGCATAAAAGAGTACTTGAAATTTAGGGCTTGATGAGATTACTCAAGAAGGAAAATATAGATATGGAGAACATCCCAGGACAAAACCCTGAGAGAGTAATAAGAAAGGAATGACATAGAAAGAGGAGACTGTGAAAAGGTAGGATGGAATCTTTCCAGTCAGGGATGTTGAGGGAAGAAAATGTTTCATCAAAGAGGGGGTCTGTATTGCCACTCACTTCTGATAAGTCAAGATCTACAAGGTGTCCAACAAATTTAGTGATTTACCTTTCTAAATAGCTGGGGAGGGCTCTAGGGTCATAGGTAACTTTGTTTTTGTTTGCTGGTGTGTTTTTGGCATGGGAGAAATGGGAGCATCTATAAATATTGATAAAAATGAATCAATAGAGAGAGATGATGGAGGATTGATTCAAGAATGAGTTCCTTGGAGAGGCAGGAAGGGATGGGATCTACAGCCGAGGTGGAGAAATTAACCTTAGACAACAAGATGGAGCCAAAGTGAAAGGGAGGTGGGGATTCCTGTAGGCCAAGGGCAATTAATGCCTGATAGTAAAGAGCTATCAGAGACCCCTTCCAAGGCTGAGACACTGTGGTCTGTGTTTCCTCAGGGCACTGAACAGGTAGAAAAATCGTCAAGGAGGAAAATTGGTAATTTCTCTTGACTGTTGCCTAGGAGTTGAATTTATTTTGTACATTGATATTAGCCTACATTCAACTAATGGTCTTTCTATTGGTCTGACTCTGCAATAGGGATGATCAACATTTTACATGGAATGGGTTTAAGGCTCCTTGCTTTGGGACATCACACACCCTTTATGGTGAGAGATATTTCCTTTGCTTGTTTAAAAATACATACCACACTTTAAGAATAGAAAAAATATCCCAGCTAATGGACTAACTTGAATTGTGTGTACTTGCTTGCTTTCAGCATCTTGGAATGGCGCATAACTATAGGAATAGCAGCCAGGCTGTCCAAGCTGTCCGTGATGCCGGCTATGAAATATCTCTGGGTTTAATGCCAAAGTCTATAGGGCCCTTAACATTTGTGTTCACGGGGACTGGTAATGTATCTAAGGTAAATTCCACTTGTCTTCCTTCTGCAAAACAATCTGAAAACCTGAAGATGTGGGCATTTTGTAAATATTTCAAATTAAATTAATAGATATTCTATTTTTAGCACCTTATGTATTTTTCTTATAGCAAAGAGCAATAATGGTTCAAATATTTTCTTTGCTTTTAATTGATTCCAAGCTATCAGAGGCTTGCAATTCTTTTCCTCTCTTCCTTTTTCCTCTCTCCCTCCCCTTCCCTCTTCCTCTCTCCCTTCCCGTCCCTCCCCCTCCCTCTCTCCTTTTTTCCTTGAGATAACTCATTTTAAGGGTGTAAAGCTGTGTTCCTAGGTGATCCAGTTTTCCTTCTTCACTGGAATGTCCAAAAATTTGGAAGTGACTCCAGGATACATGTTTCAAGAATACCAGGGCTTTTGCCAGTAAGATATTAGGGAGATTAATTCAGGACTGTAATTAATACTTTCTTTTTTTCCTGGGGTGGTTTTGAGAATGCATTTGTAATCTCCCAGATAAACTTTAAACTGAAAAATAGATCTTCAAGAAAAATATTTTCCAAATAGGACATCTCTGTTAGTATTGTATTGTGACGTAGGCATCTGATTTTTTTCTTCTGTAGAAAGTAGTTTTTCCACTTGAAATAATTTCTGCAATCGATCGAAAAGTGACTAGAAATATCATATCCACATTTGTAAACTATAGTTGCTGTTCTGAGTAATTTAAGTAAAAAATAAAAAGTCAAAGCTGCTTCTAATGCATGCTTTCAGACTGGAATCAAAGCTGGTTTGCAGGCTGTATGCAGGAAATCATCTGTACTTCTGGATTACAGTCCTGGCCACAGGGCAGGGCAAGTGGAACTGTATAATTGTGGAGAAAATAATTGAAATCTTTACAGAAAACTGTGTTGGCTCTTTTCTTACTGAGTTTTAGATTTTTACTCATGCATTATTTACAGGGAGCCCAAGAAGTCTTTAATCAACTACCCTACGAATATGTGGAACCCCATGAATTAAAAGAAGTCTCCAAAACTGGAGGTAAGAGGTGGAAAAGATAGAATCATTTACTGTTCTGAGCAGCATTTGTATTATAATATCTTATCACTATGTCTTTATCATTTCTCACCAAATTTACTAATTTCCTTTTTCTCTGTAAGACCTCAGAAAAGTGTATGGGACAGTGCTAAGTCGCCATCATCATCTTGTCAGGAAGACAGATGGTGTGTATGATCCTGTAGAGTATGACAAACATCCTGAGCGCTACGTTAGTCGCTTTAATTCCAATGTGAGTATCATAGTAAGGTTTTGAGTTGTTTGCTTATGATGTACTATAGTTAGGCCGTTTCAGAGAGAAACTGTGCATATGTACATTGGTTTTAAGTTACTCATATTGACTTGTTTTGAATCCTTTGGATCTTAGGAGTTTTTTTCTGGTATTTGTAGGGGTCTTTGTTAGGGTTGTGGATGTTTTTGTGGAAACACTTTTTTCTTCACTCTCTCTTTCTGTTTCAGTTCTACATGCACATGATTGCCCTAAACCATTTTCCATGGACTGCTACTTTCCGTATAATCCTGGGCTAGTTAGCGCTGTTGTCAAAGCAGAACGTATATGAGGTTTGATCTTAACGTATATTCTATAGCCACAAATTGTAGTCATAACCTCAGCCAGTGCATTAGTTGGTTTTTCATCACAATAAAAAAATATAAGACAGACAATTAAAAAAAAAAAAGGTTTGTTTAGCTCAGAGTCTTGGAGGCTGGAAGTTGAGATGGCAGGGCTCAGGTTCTAGTGAGGGTCCTGGATGGCTGCATCATATCAAGGTGGGAGCATATGTGTCTTTGTCTCTGTGGTCTCTTGCCCTTTCCTTATAAAGTCACCAGGATATAATCTTAGGGGCTCTACTCTGATGATCAGGTCTAATCTAGTAACTTCCCAAAAGCCCCACCTTTAAACACAATAGCTAGATTCAATTTCTATCCTCTAAATATCATTAATATAAGACTTTTGGAGTTAAACTTCTGCCGGAGCTCAGGGTGACAAACTATATTTAAACCATAGCGTTCTGTCCCTTCCCCCACCCCCACTCATCATGGAAGCATTCTATCCCCAGTAATCACAAAGTCTTAACTCAGCTAGCATTGATTAAAAAGTCCAAAGACTCAACTAAACCTCAAGGCCAATTCCTCTAGCTGGGAGCCTCTATACAATAAAAAACAAGTCACATACTCTCAAGATAATAATGGCAGAACTAGCACACGGTAAGCATTCCATTCTCAAAGGAGGGAACAGAGAAACAGAATGGAGTAATTGGCTCAAAACAATACCAACACCCAGCAAGGCAGATATTAAATCCTAAAGCTCCAAATCTAGCATCTGGTGCACAGTGGGGCAAAGGCTGGGTCCTCAAGATGTTGTACAGCTCTAGCCTCTATGGCTTTGTTGATCTATGTGGCCACTTTTATGGGCCACACACAGATGCTTGCAGCTTTCCATGGCTTCCATGGAGTGCTGCCTGCAGCTGTTCCCAATGGGTGTTGCTTTGCCTTTCTGGACTCACCCATTGTGTTCAGTTCTACCAGGTCAGTAGGCATCACCATATCAGGACTCACTGCAGGAAACTTTTGCCTGGGTTCTCAGGCTTTAGTTTGAAATCTAGATAGAAGCTACCATGACCCAATAATGATCCATTTAAAAATACTGTATGCTATTTCCAGCCTGATCCTCCAAATTCTTCCAGCCTTTGCTAGATAACCAGTTCCAATGCTATCTAAACATTTTCAGGTACAGTTTAATAGTAGTACTCCATATGCTCAGAACCAATTTTTTGTATTAGCTAGATTTGCATTATTACCCAATTTGCATTAGTATAAAATACCCTAGGTAACTTACTTTATCAAGAGGAAAAATGTATTTTGTTCACAGTTTTGGAGGTTTAATTCCAAGATGGGGTAGCCCCATTGTTTTGGTTTCTGGTAAAGGCTGCATATAATAATAGTAGAAGCACTAACATCTTAAATTGAAGAAAAGACAGAGCGCAGAAGAGACCAGGGTCCTGATATCCCCTTGAAGTGGACACTCTTAGTGATCTGAGACTTCCCACTAGGCCTCACCTTTTAAAGTTTCCATCACTTCCAACTAGTGTCACAGGCTGGGAATCAAGCTTTCAACATATGGGGATTATGTGTGGGTGGAGGTAAGGTGAGGAATTCAACATCCAAATGGTGGCTCCAGCCATCTTGAAACACAGGTCATTGACTACAGGGGCCCAGGTGAAATAGTGTTTGTTACAGAGGCACAGACCTGTCCTCATTGTACAAAAAAAGGAGCTACTTACAATTTTAAGTCCTTCTAATGGCACTATATTGGCCTTGTTTTCTAAGAAATGCAATGTGTATCTGTGGCCATTAATTATGCAACAGTCCTAAAAATAAATCAATACACTAAAAAAAATTAAACCTAAGAAAAATATATGCATTTATTGTGAAAAGGGGTACTTTAATTTTAAATGTGTTTAAACAGCTAGCACTTTTAGACTGATAGAAATTTAGCTAGTACAGCATGTTATAAAGAAGAACTCTTACATTTAGCTTGAGAATGCTTGAGATACTTGAGGAACAGAAATTACGAAACTAATTTTAAGCTGAAACATTTTGAATCTAGTAAATTTCCATTCTCTCTCTTATCCTCTACTAGAAGTATTGGTGATTAGATGCATTTGAAAACTTATAATGAGCTAATTACCATGTATGCATGCATATAGCATATTTTTCCATGGTGCATACAGAAGTTATCTGATTTAATCTTCATATCATTCTTTTGAGGAATGGAGTATTCATTATCCCCTTCTGGTAGGTAAGAAAAGTAGACTCCAGAAAAATTGTGATTTAGATCAGGTACTCCTGGTGTTTGAGCTGGCAGAGAATCAGTTCTAGGAATCCTGATGCTCTTTCTTTGCTGTGCATTATATTATAGAACAACAATGTTAATGTATTTGTTATGTTCATTTATTTCTCTATTACAGGGTACTTTTACACTGAAATCTCAGTGGGTACTCTTGCTTCAAAAGAGGGTCATTGAGGTGGACAATAAAAACATTTATTAGAAGTAAAAATAATGGTTGCTCATGGACTTTTTGGGTAGCTCTTTCAGCACACTGTAATGAAATAGGCTGTCTCCCATCTTGTTGAATGTAGAATTTGCTTTACAGATTGCACCCTATACAACCTGTTTAATTAATGGAATCTACTGGGAACAAAATACCCCTCGCCTATTAACCCGCCACGATGCCCAAAGTCTCCTGGCTCCAGTCAAGTCCTCAGTAGCTGCTATTGGAGGCTGCCCTGAATTACCACACAAGTAAGGGCTTTACTTCAGCACTGATGGCAGTTTTCAGCAGCAACACACTTTGTTAGGGGATCATAGAGGATAATGTTTCTACATATCAGAGAACTGATTGTTGATTGTTATGATGGTCTGACTCAACCACTTGGCAGCATAGTTAACCCTCACTCTTTCTTCAAATCCTTTTCTGATTTCTGTGACTCCATACAGAGCTCCAAAACAACCTCCCCAGAGAAGTCTTCTCTTGCTTTCCCATTCCCATTTCTCTCTAGTTTGTTATAGTGTTTTTTTCTCAGTTCATGATTACTTATTTTCCTCTGTTTATGGTTCTCCTCACTCACACTAGAACTTAATATTCTCCAAGTTAGAGCCCCTGTTCATCTTGATCACAAGCAGCTGGTATATTACTCATAGAATAGACATTCAAATAATTATTATGTTGAATGGATTAATTAATCAGTACATATTCATGGAATTCTATGTCTCCCTGGCACTATGCTAAGCTAAAGGTCAGAGATATGTTTGCTGCTCTCAGGCGTGTATCAGGCATTGAGCTAGTAATGCCTAGCACAGAAGTTTAGAAGAAAGTTGAAGCACTTGTAACCAAACATGATTTTGCCCTTTGATGAATACAAAGCTGACAGATAACCAGGACCTAAAAGAATGAAGAAAGGTTTATTTCTTGTAGCAAGTAAGAAAAGCACTGGGATGATTCCTAAAACAATCTCTCTCTGAGAAAATAAATGTGGGGGCTTTTTTTTGGGGGGGGGACACTCATATTCATATAGGAAAGACTCAGTATCATATATACAGGAATGCTCAGTTCAAGGCCATGCTTCTTCATATATCTCATGTTCAAAAAATGGTGAATGGGAACACTTCTGTGTAGAAAATTTAGTATTATAATGAGCTAAGTTTAATCTAGTCACCTAAAAAGCATGGGCCAGTAAGAGTTGGTCATTTGGGCTGGTTCCTTGAAAATTTCTCTGGAGGGACTTATCTAAAACAAAGAAACAACTTTGAGGGAACCTTAACAGTTACTGAAATGGGCAGCTCCCTCCCCCCAGAAGCATAGATGATTGTCCCTAAACATACCTGCCTAGTGGCTGACACACTGGTCTTAGCAAAGTGTTAAAGGGAGGAGTGAGGAGAGTGAAAATTTCATGTGATGGGAATGGTGTGTGGTACATACGGAGCCACTAGTACAATTTAATCCACCCAGTGGGACAGTGTAGCCCTAGTGTGTGCTTATGTAGCTATGTAATAATTGAAGATTGTACAGAAAAATTGTGACCAATCTGAAGACTTTTAAGTGCTGGACTGAGAGTTTTGTTCATAAGGCTAGACATTTCCATGTAATCAGGTATAAAATTGTGTAGTACACTTGTCTCTTTATATACACGAGAGGTCATTTCCAGATGACCCCAGTGGACATCAGTATTTTTGTATGCTCAAGTCATTTATATAAAATAGTGTTGTATTTGCATAAACCTATGCACATCCTCTTGTGTGCTTTAAATCATGTTTAGATTATTTGTAGTAACTTGTAGAATGAGAATGATATGTAAATAGTTGTTATGCTGTATTGTTTAGATAATAACAAAAAGGAAAAAAGTCTGCAAATTCAGTGCAGATGTAATTTTAAAATATTTTTGTGACTCAGTTAAATCCACAAATGCAGAACCCAGGACGAGGAGGGTCCATCGTACTAGGCAGAGTGCAGGTGGTATAATTGAAGCTTTGTGTTTTATTTGGAGATGGCTAACTATGTTAACTTTTTTTTTTTTTCAAAGCTAGGGATCAAACCAAGAGCCTCACACATGTTAAATGAATGTTCCAACACTGAGCTACACTCTCAGGTCCAGAATAATGATTTACTGTCAGTGATTTCTTAGGGAAAGGATTTTCTACTTCTGTTTTTTTTTTTCTTCCTCTCTCCCTTCCTGCCTTCCTCCCTTCCTTTCTATTACTTTGTATTTTCTTGTGGACTCTAAAACTCACAGTGGGAGAATTCTGAGTATCTCAGAAACTCAGTGTCCTTAAGACTGAACTGTAGGGAAAAAAAGCCCAAGAGCTTGGGAAGTATTTGGCATCCACATTGAAAACTGTTCTGAGCACTTTTCATTTTTATTCATTGTTGGTCTTGTTGAGTTTCAGAATTCCATCCTCTCATCTAAGTATTGATATTATTTCAGACTGGTGGCAATCTGTGACATTTCAGCTGATACAGGAGGATCTATAGATTTTATGACTGAATGTACTACAATAGAGCATCCCTTTTGCATGTATGATGCAGACCAGCATATTATTCATGACAGGTGAGTTTGTTAAACCTGTCAGATGGTGAGAAATTAGTAAAATAATTTTGTTCCTTAACCTTGAGATACTCATAAAAAGTACTCAGTATTTCACTTCTTTATGAAAGTATGCAAATTTGGAGAGATATGCTCAAACATTAAAAATTTTGCTAGGAAAATCACATGCAAATTTGAACACATCAATACATATATTTGTATATAATTGGGAGATGAGTTACTGAAGGAGGAAAAGGTTTTATTTGAAAAGTTTTGTTTATATTCTTATACAGTATACCTTTGTACAAAATTACAAATAACAACAAAGTAAATATAATGGGGTAGACATCAGGAAAAGTTAGAGCTTACACTAACTTTTTATACATCTGATTAAAGCATATTGCTTCTCCTAGTGTTGAAGGCTCTGGGATTCTGATGTGTTCCATTGACAATTTGCCAGCACAGCTTCCAATTGAAGCTACAGAATACTTTGGAGATATGCTATATCCTTATGTTGAAGAAATGGTAAGTAGACAGGTAGCATCAGCAACAACTCTATGGCTTTAAATAGAATTCTGAATATTCTGGTCTTTTGCATGTAAGAAATCTGTTGTAAAATGAAACACCAGCCTTTCTCCAAAATACTTGCTGATACACTTTTACTTTACATAGGTTGTTTACTTGTCTCATGGGAGCTATGCTTATTTGCAATTATATTCATTACTTACTGTATGTATTTTTTTAAGTATGTTTATGCATGTAAGATAAGCTTTACTTTCCAATTTTTTGGTGTCCAGGTAAATTCATGTAGGGGCATTCTTATTGTCCTATGATGAACAGATTTGAAAAATCAGAAATATAGATAAATTTAAGGGATGTTAATGACCATTGCTTAAATGGGAGTTTTTTTATGTTGAAATTATGTATTTTTCTCCTGTGATCAGTGATTGCCTACTGAAATACCATGTTATCTAAATTCAATTTGCTTTACCAAAACATTTTTTTTTTTTACTTCAGTGTTTGTCTTGGGTTCATACCCATCTTGCTTTATTTTGATTGCTAATGGCTATGTGCCCTGGCAATACTTTCAAAGTTATGAATAGTAGCTCTTGTTCTTTTTCTCATATCTTCACTCAGATGCTTTCACACTAATGATAATCAGTGGATCAAGAAAAAATGAAACTTTGTGGTTGTCTCCTTTGAATAGCCCATGGGTTAAAAATAAATTACAGGAGGGCCGGGGATTTAGCTCAGTGGTTCCGCTGCCTGCCTCACAAGCACAAAGACCTGAGTTCAATCCCCAGTACCATAAATAAATAAATAAATAAATAAATAAATAAATAAATTAATTATAGGAAACTAGAAAATACTTTTAGTTGAAAGAAAATTAAAACACAACATACAAAAATTTGTGGAGCACAGATACAGCAGCAGTATTTTCTTTCAAATAGTTTTCTATTTTGACCCTTTGTTTCCCTCTTGGAATATGCCAGCAAGAAGATGCAGCAGGCTTTAGAAAACGCAGGCAAGAGACATTGCCATAGTTGGTGCAGTACTGTGTCTACCACGTGCCAGTGCTCAAAGCTCTTGATATACTGCAATTTCGAACACTCACGAGAAACTCTGTCAAGTAGTTAGCATTGTTAAGCCCACTTTAGAGATTAAGAAAGAGAAACAAAGGCTGAGAAGGGTTGCTGATGTGGAGCTGGGTACTACAATGGGTCTGAAGTTGGTGCTGAGGGGTTAAAGTAGCATAGAAGGGTACAGATGCCAGGCTTCACTGGAGACATGAGATTGCTTTAAGGCCCTGAGCAGGGAACTCATTTACTTTCTGAGCCTCAGATGTTACATCTGTAAAATGAGGTGGTTGTAATATATTATGATCTTAATGAGATCCATTTTGAATGTTCTATAATTATATATGTCTAAGTATATGTATAAAAAAGTAATAGTAAATTACTCAGATGTTTACCATTTTTGATGCTTTTCATTCACTTCTCTTTGATATCATTTCCCTATAGATGAAATTAATTCAGTACTTCCCATGTTACAGACTTGAGAGTGACAGATTCTTTTAGTTGTCCTTTATATGATGTTCTTCATATTCTCTCTTCTGCTAATAAGCCCTTCCTATAATTTTTTCAGAGTTTTCTTTTCAGTTCTAGATTTGCCATTTGGCCTTTCTTTCTGTCTCTTCTTCCCCTCCCTCCCTCCCTCCCTCCCTCCTTCCTTCCCTCCCTTCCTCCCTCCCTCCTTCCCACCCTCCTTTCCTCTTTCCCTCCCTTCCTCCTTCCCTCCCTCCCTTCCTCCCCTCCCCTCCCCTCTTCCTTCCTTCCTTCCCTCCCTCCTTCCTTCCTTCCTTCTTTTTTTATTGGTAATTTTCTCTTTCCCTGCTGAGAATTTTTATCTTTCCGTTATTATGATCTCATTTTTAAAATTCCTAGGGAGCATAGTTATAAAAGTCACATTACAGTCTTTATAGTAGTTCTCCTTAGCTGAAAGAAATATATTCTAACATCCTAAATGGAGGATGGATATATGAAACTGTGGATAGTACTGAACCCTATATTTAGATATTTTTTACTATACATACATAGCTTTGATAAAGTTTAGTTTATAAGCTAGGCACAAAAAAGATTAACAATTATAACAAAAATAGAAAATTTAAAACAATATACTGTAGTAAAAGTTATCTGAATGTGGTTCTCTCTCAAAATATCTTATTGGAATGTACTCACCTTCTTCATGTGCTGATGTGTGATAAAGTGCTTCTGTGACAGTTGGCTGTGGGGGCACACACCTGTAATCCCGGCACTCTGGGAGGCTCAGGCAGGAAGATTGCAAGTTTGAGCCCATCCTGGGCAATTTAATGACTTAGCAAAATCCTATTTCAAAATTGAAAAAAAAAAAATCACTGGGGATGTAACTCAGTGAGAAAGCCCTGGGCTGGCTCAAACCCCAGTACCACAAAAACAAACAATCAACTTACCTGTTAAAATGAAATGAGGTGAATGGTATAGACATTGCATAGCAATCAGGCTACTGAATAAGAGTTACTTGAACACAGGCACTGCAATACTACTACAGTTGTTCTGATAGCTTCTACGTGACTTTTGAGGGAGTTGAATATACAGTGTGAATATCTGGAACAAAGGGATGATTCCCACCCCAGGGGGATGGAGTGGGACAGTGCAAAATTCCATCATTCTACTCAGAATGGCATGTTAAAACTTACAAATTGTTTATTTCAGACATTTTCTATTTAATATTTTTTGACTGCAGCTGACTGTAGGCAGTTGAAACTGTGCAAACCAAAACTGTTCATAAGAGACATTGCTGTACTTATCTTTCTAAATTCCGGTCATCTTGGGGTTGAACTCTGTTGACTGTGTCTTCCTTTGAGAATGGCCATACTTTTCCAGTTTTCATAATTTGAACAATTTTGGATTACGTTCTGCATGATGTGAATGTTGTGCTCTGAAGATTCTGTGTTGTCATTTCCCCGAAAAGTGATATTTCTTTTTCAAGCAGGCAATTAATTTGGTTACACTCAAACTTAAAATTCTACCTCCTCTCTCTAGGAAGATCACTCAAAAAAAGTTCAGCATTTTTATTTTTGTCTCCCCTGCTTGTAGTCTGGTCTGCACACCGTCAGTTTGAGCATCATCCAGGGACCCTGGGCAGAGTTTACATAAAAGTTGGACCTCCCTTTTTCTGAATTTACTCTTTATTGGCATTTTCCCCTCACCCTCTAGAAGCTGAGATTTTTTTGTTTTAGATCAGAAAGTCAGTGCACTTTCACCACATTTATACCTTCTCACACCATTTGACTTGTCCTCAACACAATGCCAGTAGAATGGGAAACACCTACTGCCAGTGCTCCCTCCGTGCTTTGACGCTATCCTCCCAACTGCTTGATATTCATTCTCGGAAACTTGCCTGCAGTTTGTTATTGCTTGTACTTTGCCCACACTACTTTGCTATCTGTAGAATGTAGGGTATGTAAGGACTTAGTCTTCTATATCTAAAATAGAAGGAATCCTCTGGTTCTAAGTGGATTAAATGATCTTGGATCCAGTAGAGTTTTGGAGGAGCTAGAAGAGCTATTGGTGAGTTCTTGCCAGTAAGCAATCTCTTACAATGCTGAATGTTGGTATTTCAGCACAATGCTGACCTTATTAGGCCAGGTTATGGTAAATACTGAACAGTTTTGTCTTGTGGATAGATTTGACTGTGAATTGCTTGAAATGCCTTTTTGTTTAATTGTTCTAACATCATTTTCCATTCAAAGGAGTTATTACAAGGCAATTTAAACTCACACATTATTTTGTTACAGAATTTCAATTGTAAGTTTATTTCTTTTGGACCTTACAATACATTTTTTCTTTTGTTTATTTTTTTCCAGTACCAGGGATCAAACTCAGTACCTTGGGCTTGCCAGGCAGGTGGCCACATCACTGAGCTAAATCCCTGGCCCTAGAATACATTTTTCTTCACTCCAGTTTGTCCTTAATAAAAATTATCACTCACCTATGAAATAGTTCATTTCATATGGATGGTACATGAAAAACCAATTCAATGAATTTGCAGTGTTATTGAGAATTAGCTCAATTAACACATAAGCATAAGTGCATTCATACTGTTTTTATTAAAGATCAAAATATAAGAATAAATTTGTTTATATTATGTAAAATATAAATGTAAAATATTAAATCACCAGAGATAAAGGATACATAAGAATGTAACATGTAACTTATCACAAAGGGAATCAGGGGACACTACATAGTTCAAAAGTAGGACAATATCATCCTTCCAGAAATTCCTTCATTCCTTTCCCACTTCTATCCTCATTCTTCTTCCTAAAAATAACCACTATCCTGACTTCTAACTATGGAATAATTTTTCTGTCTTTTGAAAGTTACATATATGGAATCATACAATATGTATGCTATTGGATTTAAAATCTTTCATTCAGAATTATCTTTATTATATTGTTTATTTTTTTCCATTAAGTTTATTGGTATATTTTAGGTATAAAATACAGTTACATTCATCATTTGGATCTTGAACTTTTACATGACATATCTTGGTTCTTATTTTTTCCCCATTCCCCTGCCCTCCCTTCACTCCCTCCACCCCCTCCACCCTTCCCTATTTACAAAGACTTTGTTTCCATTTTTTCTCTTTTCTCATAATTTTTCTTTTCCCTTCTTTCCTTTCCCAGACCCCTCCCACTTCTCCTACTCCTTTAGACCTTTTCTTCCTATTACACAATATCAATCATACATCTTTTTAAAAATTACAGTATCAAGATTTAGAGGACATTACCAGAGATTTTACAGAACTTAAAAGGATACCTGCTAAATTCAAATACAAGTTCTAGGGGCTCCTAGAGATTTCTTAGTATTTTCTCTGTAGATGTTCATTTCATCTACATATAAAGATTTTGCTTCTGCCGTGCCAATCCTATCCTAGTTGTGTCATTTTATTGCCAGACTATTTTGGTGGGGACTAGATTTTAAAGT